TCCTAGGCTCATATAATGTCAGATGTTGATCATGGGCAGAACAACTCCTAAATCCAATGTATGCTAGGATGATGATGAAGAAGAAATGTATACAATCAGAAAATACAAACATAGTGTTAAAAAACAACTGGAACACTCTTGGTGTCCCTAGAACTGCTGCTGAAATTCACCAATGAAGGGATGTGCTGGCAATAGGACCCACATACTGCACTGAGGCAGACCATGTCTCACCCGACGCATGCCATGCCAGATGATACCAAAGTGCCCACTCTCCATCTGCCTCAGCGACACAACCAGCAGTAACTCTGCTGCTGCAAGGGCTTCCAAGGGAGTCCTCCAAACAAGATTTGAAACACCCTTCTACCCACTATTGCCCAGAGTGTCATTTGATCACAACGTGTCTTGTAAAGGCATACATTTATGTTGAACATATATAGTTTTCATGACCTCATTTTTGGGCAGAAAATCCTCCATCATGAGCAGAAAGTAGACTGTGTAACAGAAATGCTTTAGTTTTTCCTCTGCACTGTAGCTTTTATACTTTATTCCAGTTGTCACTCTTCCTGATTTCTGTCCCTGAAAATTATTTCAGTGCTTGGTTTATATTATTTACTTTTGTAAATATGCTTTTACTGATTGATTTCCAGTTCCTAGTTTATATTGTTTACTATTATTGTTATATGTCATCTTCATTATGCTATTCTTTCCTTGAGTGGTCCTCGTAGACGTGCTGCATATACTGAACATCCTGAAAAATTCTAACAGAAAGGGTGAATATTAAAAAAAAAATATTGATTACATCTTAAATAACACCTCATATTACTTGATATAACATGTCATGGGAAGAATCACAAAATACAACAAATATTTAGCATATGTTTTAAGTCAGCAACCTTTGCATACTTGTGCTCCCCCTCCACTCCACCCGACGTCATCTGGGGGGAAGATGCAGGCCCATCTCCATCGGGCCTAGCTTAAGAAGAAGAGCCCTCCCTCCACTCCATCCGACGTCATCTGGGGGAGAGATGCAGGCCCATGTTGTTTTATGTTATATGTTAATTTTTATGCTGTAAACTGCCCGGATTGGTCTACCAATGGGCAGTATAAAAATAAAATGTATTATTATTTTTATTATGCATTTCTAGTTTGCATGTTTGCAAACTTCCTGTTTGTTAGCACACACTGCTCCAGCAGTATTCTAACTTGCAGCATTTTCTTCTTCTCTCTCTCCTCCAGTAGACCATGTATTTTACTGTGCAGAATTATAAGTAACACTATTGCATATATTTGGTAACGACTAATGTCATTTCTTTTCTTTGCTATATTCTGTAGGGTGGTCAGTGTGGGACTGGTTGTTGTTCATCTTCTTGTCCCAGCAAGGTTGTATGAAACCCTAGCACCCCAGCACATACACCCAGTTAAATGTATATACTAACAAAACATAGGACAAGATTTGACAGTGTTGGATTTCTTGTGTGTTAAACCTGCAAACTGTAGCTCCAAGCAAGCCAAAACAAATCCATGTTTGACACTGGTTTGGAGAACATCTGAGATGGGATGGAGAGAGAACACACCTGAAGTTGCGGTAGCAACATCCAGTGGCTCACTGCATGGGTCTGTGAAGTAAGAAATAGAAAACTAGGCACCAGCAAAGGAAGAAGGTGAATATGCCCTCACTCCATTTTGATGCCTGTCTAATAATAATAATAATAATAATAATAATAATAATAATAATGAGAGAAAGAGAGAGAATGCATTCAAAGCAGAAACAAAAGAGAGGGACCCACCAGGACATGAACTCACACTGCAACCTTCACAGAAAAGATCTTCAGAGTCATGGCTGCTGCAGCAGACAAACATCTGATACTTCTGGACACCCAATGACTGGTACAGAAAAGTCCAGGAAGTACAATTCACCATCAAAACAAAGCACATGATTTAATCCAATTTAGCTGATAGTTAAATTGGATTAAAATGGCTTGGGATTGGATTAAAAGGGCAGTAGGAAAGGCCATTGTGTGGTATTGTATATGCTAGAGGGCCATGATTCAAACCCATGGCACAGCCCTACAATAGCAAAAGTTGGGGGGGGGGGAAATACACATATGCCCTCTGGCATAGTCATGTCCATCAGGTGAAGCACTATATGGACCAATACTGTGATTTTTGTGTATGGGCAGAATACATGCCAGGCCCACCCCAGAAAACCACATGACTCATCCATTCCCTGCATCAGGCGTGATAGACCTGGCCTTCCCAGTCAAGGCACCATCTAAGATGTAGTAGACCTGCAAAAAGTCTAAGGGCTGATTTTCTCCTCTCCAACTAATTATGGGCCACACAAAACAGGAAATGGTCAGAAACCCGATTTAAGCATCAAACCTCCCTCTTTTCCCTATCATGTGCCTTGTTTCAAAGGTGAATTGTACTTCTTGGGCTTTCGGGAAGTGTGATTTCCCCATCTTATGTTTTTAAAAAGTGGTGGAGATTACAAGGACCACAGAAATGAGTAGGAACGACATGTGTGACATGTTAAATATATGGTTGAGGCATATGTACATTATACAGACATGAGGGAGGGAGGTCTTCTACCACATCTTCTCTCATTCAGCATACCTGAAGCATAGGGTGGTACCCTAAATTCAATGCAGAACATATGTTATTTGGTATTGTTCTCAACATAGTTCTGTTGAGCTATAATTAATCCTCATTTTTCCGATACTAGGTAGGCGCAAAGACTTTTGACCTTAAGATCCCTTCCAGCTGTAATATCCTATATGCTACCACATAATGCATGCAATAATTGCTGGGGAATACATAGCCTTCTATGTATCTTAAGTATTTTACTTTGCAGAGTCTGGTAAAAATGCATTGGGTTTTACATAATTTATTTTATAATTATCTTAAGAGATACTATTGACTTTTTTCCTGTAGTGCAGAAAGCTACAAGAAGTGTGGTTTACCACTGTGGCTTTTAAAAACATGACAGAAGACAAGATTTTGACATTAAGAATTGTAACTAAAACAATTCCTAAATGTGATACCAGTTCTGATGTGCAAATTCAATCTGATGCATCCATCATTATAAAAACACACACAACCCTACAATGAATGTGGCAGAAAATTAGCTGTCTGACCTTACCCTTTTTTCCTTTTAGCAGAGAAGCTATCAAAAGTTCTCTTCATCCAAATTTCTCTCTGGGTTTTGGATTTCCAAATTACCTTTGTCTTGCTTCTAAAATGAGACAGATAATGCATTCAGAATTCTCCTTTGTTGTAGTTCTTATTTCATTCTATACTGAACACTATCCATGAGCAATTTCCCCTAGCCTTCATTTGCTCCAGTTCCTAACCCCAAAATTACTTTGTAGGTCCCTCAGTATCTGGAGGTAAGTACTCCCAGAGACATATAAATTTACTGATATGTGAATCTATCCTTGTATCGTGCAAATGTCCTTATTACATACCCTGTGGTCTACAGTATTTCGTGATTAAATAAATCCATAATCATTCTGCAGAAGCACAAACATTTTGAAAACATTATTATTTTTTACATGTGCCTAATTCAAAGGCATCTGGAAAATGAGATGTCTTGTACGTTCTAGGTATGGACTTTAGGAGGGTTAAAGGCACTTTCTAAAGGTGTTCACCACTGAGCTGAAGAGAGCTGGAACAGAGAAATGAAAACTATTCTAAGACACACAGATTGTCTCTCCAGTGAGTTAAATGCTGTGATCATCTCTAAAAAGCCCATTGTATTATCAGCAGAATTAATCAAGTGATGCATTGCAGGTGTTAGTTGCTATTTCAGAGGGGAGAAAAAGAGATACATCTGCTCTCTCATTGGCTGGTTCCTCTAAAACAGTTTATTAGAAGAAAGAAACCAATTCAAATGTATTCTGTTGAATGTCGAGCATGGCCCATCTGTGTCCCTATCCATAACAGTTGCTGATTTCAATGTATCAACTCCCGGAATGGCAGACTCTTTATACAAAATCCAATCTTGATTTCTTCCCAGGCACCGGAGATCAATAAAGACTAATTTGCATTAAGATGTTATAAAGCATTCAGGGGAAGCCATCCAAATGATGGTGGGGAAAGGGAACAGATAATATCTGTTCTAATTCTAATTAATATTAAAAGGAAATGTTCTAAGCTACTTGCTGAACATTTTGATATAATATTTTCCGTAGTTAAAATTGCTCATTTGCTCTGACAGTTTGAGACAACAAAGAAAGCTGAGTCAAAGAGCTGTCATGAGCGTCTGCTTCCACTCTGATGTGGATTTGCAAAGGGGACAACTCACTTAAGCCAATGGATGAATGATTGGGAGTGTGGTCAATTAGCACTTTATATGAGAAAGTATGAGGAGAATGGAAATGAAACTGC